GTTAATCACACCCTGCATGTGTTTTAAAATAGTAGAATGGTTTTAAGTTCATAATAGTTGACATTATTTTTACATGTTTAACTTGCTTAAAGAACCAACTCTTTTATTTCTCAGAGAATACAGACCAAGAGTGCATGTTCAGTTTTTGGACAATGGTACAAAAGTATCTGCTCTGAATCCAAAGACGTATGTTTTTGAACCTGAGAAATCAGTTGGAGACCCTGAAGTGGATCTGATTAGAACGATTAATATTCCTGCAGTGGTGAGTTCTCTTTGATTTCTGCTTGGAAATCGTCTTAAAACACTTGAAAGCTAGCAGGTTGTTGCTTCTCACTGTCTCTCCCATTGTGGTAGATAAAGAAGATTCAAGAACTAGAGAGGCAGGTTATGTCCAATACAGATAATGCTTTCAGTTTGGGAAGTTTAATTTTGGGATGGGTTGGGTTTTTCTGTGGTGTTCCTCCCTTGCCTTAGGCCTCTGTACTGGCAGAGCCTCCCTCTTCCCCTCTGATACACACTTCAGAGATGAGGGGAAACCAGGCCTGTTGGGTTTTCACCAGCAAGTGAAAATAGGGTATTAGTGAAGTCAAACACATAAGAAGAACTCAGACAGTTGGATGAGAAAACTTACATATTTTTTAAGTCAGAATTGCAAAAATTGCCTCCAAATCTGCATCTGAATCTGCAAAATAACATCTAAAGCAGAAGAGTTTCAGATATAACTGAATGAATAGGTGCTCTCAGAACTAAAGGTAAAACAGGCATCCCGAAGAGCAGCAGATGAAAATACTATGCAAAGAAAGTTTTGTTTTAGTGATCAGACAGCCCTGTATCTAACCTCGCATAGGTACACCATGAGAACAGACATATATAAAATAGTCACGCCTTGTGAATGTTATTAGACACACTAAAAGTGTTTGATGAGTAACTAAGCCTTTACTTTCCTTACTGATTTAACTGACTTCAATTACAGGATAAATTCATTTCTTTTTTTTCTCCAGCATTTCTCAAAACAGCTGTCTGATTGTATGAATAAAATACATAAATGCATTGTATATAGCCCTAGATAGAACTTAGTGTTCTATAGGTTTGTGGGCAATATATTCACATTTACTTTTCCTCCCTTGCATTTAAGGGTTGTTAAGTGTTATCTCTTGTACCTATTTTGGATCATGCAACACTGTAACAAGCAGTACCAGAACTACAGTTTGGTTCACCCAAGGAATATCCCATTTGTGTGTGTGTGTTTAAAAACTTGTTGCATAACCAGTTGTCAGCTACAAAGGAAACAAATGTTGGCATTGTTTGCGTTTTGGGGATACAGCTCTCTCTACATTTGTAAAGCCAAGGGGCTGTAAGCTACCTATCCTAAGGATAAAATGTAAAGAGTGTCTCTGGTTGTAAACAGTGGTGAAATTAAGACTGTTTAGAAAGTGGTTTTGCACGTTTCACTTAGAATCCAGTCTTGAGAATACAGCAGTTAATGGCATGTAACCAAACTGATTGTGTGCCAGCGCTTGGCTGAATGGGAATCTGCAAGAGCACGTCCTTGTGGGAGAAACAGCTGAAGAACCTTATTTGCTGCAAGTAGAAAGAATTAAATGATTTCAGTCCACGTGCCCATGAGTCTGTGTTTGCATGCAGCTGTTATTACATATTCTTCTCTAAATCGGACTGTTTATTGCTCATTTTAATCCCTTGGCAGACAGCAATGGAGATGACCAGGTCAACCGCT